GTTCCTACTATCTCAGCAGCTGAGAGAGATCAGCATCCCTCTCCACAGCTGCACCAGAAGGGAAACTTTGATTTTTTCATCAAGCCTTGGGTAGGACTTAAATCAGAAGCTTGTGACCCTGTCTAGATGTATCTAGACAGATACATGAATGGGCAGGGAGCAGAAGGATACATATCCTTGGAAAATAGGCGACAGGTTTAGATAGAGGATCTGGATCGGCGTAGGCTTGGAGGGCCGAAGGGCCTGTTCCTGTCCTGTAATTTTCTTTTGTTCTTTGTTCAGAAGTAAATGTTCTATAACTGAGAAGTAAGAGTCCGAGATTATCCTGTTTCCCACACGGAGGTTTCTTTTGAAGAGACTTTAATCATCTAAAATAATTCCAATCTGGAAACTTTAAGTGTTGCAAAAATAACATAACATTTATAACAAAAACATAAATTGTTGGAGAAAATTCTGAACTGGACTCAAACTGTTAACTCTGTTTCTTTCTTTGATGCCAGACCTACTGAATTTTTCCACCTATTTCACTTTTTGTTTCAGATTTCCAGCTCCTGCAGTTCTCTGTTTTGTTATAACATTTATACTTCACTATCTATAGTCTGTTGGAGCCTGTATTCAAATTGGTAAGTACTTCCCTGAGTTTGAGAATGATCTGAGCTGCCCTAAGGTAGCCCCTGTATTGGGAGCTGGTTGGATAACCTTACTGGAGATTTGCCTTGTATTTTATAATTAACAGAAACCAGTTGCATCAGAGTGTCCACACAATCTGGGTTTGCATCTTAAGACCCCTTGTAAGATTTAAATCACTACCAGAATAAATAATGATTTAGTTTTATAGCATGGGCTCATATACAACTAATCAACTTTCATCCTCAGGTTGGCTTTCCTTTCCTACATTAAGCTCTGCAGTTGATCCGAGATATTCCTTCATACTCTTAATATAATCCCTCAGCTGCAGTACATCTGAAGGATTTTTAATTGAAGATCACATGTACAAGCGCATGATAGCTGGATCGCATATCTTGCTATGATACATTCATTAGCAATCATCTAAAATGGTGGATTGAGAGTAAAGTAATAACCTTCTCCTGAGATTCAGGCTTATTTCTAGATTTACTTCTAGATTTCTTACAGCTATTACATTTCAATAGTATACATGAATAAGAAAGTTTTGGAGGGATATGGGCTAAGCGCAGGCAGGTGGGACTAGTTTAGTTTGGAGTTATGTTCAGCATGGACTGGTTGGACCAACTGGTCTGTTTCTGTGCTGTGTGACTCTATGACTATCAGAAACCTCAGCAGTTGTCAATTGTTTGATACATGCCAACGAAGCAATGTTCCATCCATTTGAACCAAGCATCATCAGTGATCTCATTAAACTGGAGTCACTGATATGTGCTCAAATAACTGTTCAGGGAATTTAAACTTTTAGGTTTGCTCAAAAGGAACAGAAGTGCTTCTGGCCTCCCAGGCCCCAGCCCATTCTCACCTCTCCTGTGGATTATTGCTCATATTTTCCTTGCCCCACATTGTGCCTGATATGCCAGCTAGCTGGCATAGCTGGCAGCTATGAGAGCTGATAAGAGGGAGTGAGAGCCTGATAATTTCCCACCATTATGGAATCGATGAATTGCAAGATGGGGCTTTTGTGGTCACCATCAAAATGCTAAAGTGATCTGAGTCTCCCCATGGCTCAGGCATCAATAGGCAGCTGAAGCAAGTATCCGTTTCAGGCAGATGTCAATGATCATCCCCAAAGTGTCATACTCAACGAATGCACAACATGACATTGCGAGTGAAGAAAACTTGATGCAAATCTATTTTGAACTTTGTAATAAATGTCATTACCAGTAAAGAATGACATGGAAATTTACATGTAACTTGCACTAGATCTTATCCATCAACATATTTTTAAGTGTACGTGACAATATTGTTGTTGGAGCTGTGAGCGTGATACGTTATCGAGTCAGGAAGAAATTCTAACAAGGCAAATCCTAGGTTCACTGAATCAAAGATTGAAAGAAGAAAGGACCTGACACCAAGTGAGATTCCCCAATTCATGATGGTTCCAGATGGGATCCCCTTGAGTGCTTATGCTTAAGGGTGCTGAGGGTTGAACTACCTTTCCTCCTTTATTTCGCCAACCCCTTGGTTGATCACAGCAAAGTTAAAAAAAAGCTCCCTCCCTGTGCGGATACATTTCCCCCAGACCCAAATGAGCTTATGTTTTGAAAGGAGCCAGTTTAACCAGGCTATCCTGAATTAATAAAAAGGGGGAGTTTATTAATTAGTAAGTTATGGATGAAATAGTAACACAATACATATACCCAGAGGTTAAATGTAAGAGGGGAATCCAATGAGATAAAAATGTTAAAACATAAGATATACTGATCAGCCTCTGAATTGTTGCCAGACAGCAGATGGTTGAATATTGTTGCCATTGTAGTAGAAGTTATTAGTAATAGTGGAAGTTCCTGGTAATGTTGAGATAGGTAAGTAGCTTCATTAACCTTCATTTTGCAGGTAAGCTGAGATTCTGTGGTTCTGATGCCTTTTAGCTACAATTGAATTCCAGTATTTAGGCAACAGATACATGGGAACACCACCCCCTGCAATTCCCTCTCCAAGACACTCATCATCCTGACTTGGGAATATATCATTATTCCTTCCCTATAACTAAGTCAAAATTTTGTAACTCTATTCCTAACAACAGCAGTTTGTATACTACATTGACTGCAGCTGTTCAAGAAGGAAGATCACTACCACTTTGTCAAGTGCAATTGGGGATGGGCAATAAATGCTGACTTTGCTGGCAATGCCGACATTCTGTGATAGAATAAAAAGAAAAAAACTTCCTATCCCTACAACTTTTGGAAACGTGATTTCTCACTAACACTCAATTCATCGCAGTGACTAACATTATCTTACTGTTTTATTGTATTAGATATAACTTATATTTAATGGTTTATGTACAGTGGGTTCACATTTACTTTACACTTTTCCTATTGTCTCACAACTTTTATGGTATTAAAACATAAAAATTCATCTCACTTTCTAATTATTTCTAGTAATTTTCAGACAAATATGTTTTCTGTTCACAGTGCAGTCTCTACAGAGCTGCTGCCTTTATACACTGTGGCAAATTCACACAGGCACTTCCCATATAAACGTGGATAGTGGAAATTATAACAGAACTTAAATATAATGGCAGAATGTATGAGTTTAAAATGAGGGCAGGATTATATCTAATTACTCCCTAGTTGCGGATTCCATTTCACCTGAAGTATATACTTAGTCTTGGCTCCAAATATGAAACATTTTGGGGGATTGATAGTGTTGAATAAATTTGTCCATTGGTTCATAGGCCCTATCCTATGAAATGAATATTTATCTGCATTCTAAAAATGACATCACATGGCAGTTCAATACATATTCTATTGATACAGTTGGCACCTGTTCAAAACTTGGATCCTGTTATGTTTACCCAAACCTGGGTAAGTGGAGTGAAGATACATTACAGTTTATAGAGGACACATGATCCACTTAAAGGACTGTCCAAAAATACAGAAACTAAGGAACCACTTCCTGTAAAAACTCCAAAACATAATGCATGGATAAAGGAATATTCAATATATTAGAGACAAAAATAGAAATTGTTGGAAAAGGTCAGCAGGTCTGGCAGCATGTGTGGAGAGAAATCAGAGTTAACATTTTGGGTCGATGGACCCTTCCTCAGAACTCAGAGTTCTGAGAAAGGGTTACTCAACCCGAAAGTTAACTCTGATTTCTCTTCAGAGATGCTGCCGGTCTTGCTGAGCTTTTCCAGCAATTTCTATTTTTATCTCTGATGTACAGCATCCACAGTTCTTTCTGTTTTTGTTCAATATGTCATACAGGTAACATAAAACCAGGGACTAGGATTAAGACACAGCAACATTTCTGTCCATGGATTTTCTTCTTATATGTTGCACGGTAAAGTGAACTTGATATTTTACACATTGTTTGGAAGAAGAGAAGGCTAATTACTGCAATGTTTTATGTTCCTGACTAGGACTTCTTTTCAACTTAGAGTTGTACTGAGTGGCCTAGTTTTGTGATCAGTCTTACAACAAGTCATGGATGCCATATGCTAGGTGGTGAATGGGTTCTGTTCTGGAGTCCATTGGCAAGTCGATTCATACACAAGTCAGAACACAATGCAAAGCATTGGAGAGCAGCCATTCATAAGTAGAGGAAATATTTGTATGTTGGGTCTTTAATATTACACCCCTGTATGAGAACACGTTCTTAAGTACGAACATTCGTTAGTCGGACGTTCATAAATTGGGACCGAAAGAACCGTGGATGCCGTAAAATCGAAACAAAAACAGAAGTTGCTGGAAAAGCTCAGCAGGTCTGGCAGCATCTGTGAAGAGAAAATCAGACCGGACCCGAAACACTAGCTCTGATTTCTCTGCATAGATGCTGCCAGACCTGCTGAGCTTTTCCAGAATTTCTGTTTTTGTTCATAAATTGGGCACCCCCTGTATCTTATTTGAGCTGTAGAAGATAGCTTCAAGGTATTATTTTCTACACATAGTCTTAAAATTTTTTGTAATCATTATTAATTAAAAACTTTTGTTATTATTTTATATTGCCATCAATATAATAACATAAAATGTCCTATAATAGTTTATTGATATAATTGATTGGTTACAATAGAATAACTTAATTTGCAAGGCTGATTATGACACAGGAAATGCACTGTCTAAATCACACCCCTCACCTTCCCCTCCCCCCCACCCAATGACTAGATAAATGGATTGATCAGTGAGCAGGAAAGAAAGACGTCAGTGGCACTGGAAAAATGCAGCTGAAATGGGATAATATTTAAATCACCGCTTAAGCCCTTAGATCCTCACTGTCAGCACAATTAATAGGGTCAGCAGCATTTCTCTTCAGTCAACTCAATGCAGTTCAATCCTCTTCCTCCTGACGGTTAAGTTCTCTTAAACACAGAAATGTTTAAACTTAAGTTAAGGCGCCAGAGTCTGTTTGCAAACTATAAATTACGAGACAGCTTGAATGTATCTCAGCACCAAGGGAATGATTTGGCATTGGAAAAAGAATGTGCCTTGAAACCATGGAGTTCCATGCAAGAACTTGGGTCTGATATCTATGAAATTAAATATGATGATATAGAATCTGATGACGACTCACCAACTATTGCCCAATACAGCACAGATTCTACTTCAAAAGATAATGAGTTGAATATTAATGTTGGAGGCAAAGTTTTCCAGATTGCCTACATGGCTGTAGCCCGTTTTCCTAAGACCCGACTTGGAAAATTGGCCACTTACACCGATTCCACGAGGAAATTGGGTTTGTGTGATGATTACAGTGTTCCAAACAATGAATATTTCTTTGACCGCGATCCTGCAATCTTCCACCATATCTTTAACTTCTACAGGACAGGAGTTCTGTGGATCAAAAATGAGCTCTGTCCCAGAAACTTTCTCGAGGAGATCCATTACTGGGGTATACGGATCAAAAACAGCAATAGGTGCTGCCGAATCTCCTTCGAAGAGAGACAAGATGAATTGAATGAGCAACTAAAGGTCCAGCGAGAACTGCAAGCCGAACTTGAGGTGGAAGAAGATGAGGAGCTCTTCCGAGATTTGAAATATGGTCACCAGAGAAGAGTCATCTGGAACTTAATGGAAAAGCCATTCTCTTCAGTAATAGCTAAGATGATGGCAGTTGCTTCCAGTTTGTTTGTATTAATCTCCATTGTAGCCATGGTCTTGAACACAGTTGAAGAGATGCAGTACACAAGCGCAGCTGGCCAGCTGAGTGGACATACTTACATGGAGCATGTAGAGACCATTTGCATCGTTTTCTTTACTGCAGAATACCTGGTAAGAATAATGTCCACACCAGATATTGAGAAGTTTGCACGGAGTGCTCTAAATGCAGTTGACCTCATTGCAATCCTTCCCTTTTATCTCCAAGTCACTTTAGAATGTTTCGAGGATGAAGACTATGGGAGACACGATCAGGATATTGAGAAAGTGGGCAGAGTGGGAAAAGTTGGCCAAGTGCTGAGGATTATGAGATTGATGAGAATTTTCCGGATTTTAAAACTTGCTCGGCATTCCATTGGATTAAGGGCCTTTGGTTTCACACTGAAGCAATGTTACCAGCAGGTTGGCTGCCTTTTGCTTTTTATAGCCATGGGCATATTTTCCTTTTCTGCTCTGGTCTTCTCTGTTGAATATGATGTCCCACACACTAATTTTACCTCCATACCTCATGCCTGGTGGTGGGCTGCGGTGAGTACAATCTAAGAATTTGGGAATTAAAGGAGAAATATCACATTGTTTAATAGTTAACTATCTTCAGGGCTTAAAGCAAGGGGTATTATTTTGCATATTTTGTTTTCTGATGATATTCTACAGGACAGGGGTTCTGTGGACCAAAAATGAGCTCTGTCCCAGAAACTTTCTCGAGGAGATCCATTACTGGGGTATACGGATCAAAAACAGCAATAGGTGCTGCCTGTGCATCTGGGGGACAATATCATTAATTTTCATTATCAGTGTTCTCCAGTTAGGTTCATTGAACAAATACAGTGATAAGTTTTGAAGAAAGGTCACTGGACCCAATATGTTGACTCTGCTTTCTCCCCACAGATGTTGCCAGACTTGTTGAGTTCATTCAGCAATTTCTGGTTTTGTTACAGAGATAAGATCCCTCTACTGTGCTTCAAAATAACAAATATGATTAAAGGGGGATACTGCACATTTGCCCCATGCTATGATAAGATGGACTTCCAGCTGACACAAACGAGGACTTTCCCTCAAGCATATCTTTATAGCTTTTTTGGTCAGCATTTTAGTGTCAATTTGAACAAAATTGTCCGCCTTTGAAATGGTTATTTTAATATTGCATCCTCATTAATAGTGGGTAGTGAGGATTGTCAACATCACTCCAGGAAAGGTGAGGACAATAATGAAATGGGGATGAATCAGCAATGAGCAAAAGTGCTGTAAGAACATTTTATGAATATGCAAACATGGAGAATGGGAAAAGACCAAGAGATTTACATTTCTCCAGGAAAATAAGGCCATTTTACATTGTTTTAACCTTTTATATGATAGAAATATGAAAAGCAGAGCAGCTCATTGAGACTGCTCTTCCATTCAATACGATCATGGCTGATCCTCTATCTCAATCCCATGCTCCTGTTTTCTCCCCTCCCCCCGACCCCTTGACACCTTTAGCATCTAGAAATCTATCAATGTCATTGTTAAATATATTCAGTGACTTGGCCTCCAAAGCCTTTTGTGGCAGTGAATTCTGCAGTTTCACCACCCTCTGAGTCATACAGTGTGAAGCTCCTCTACTTTTTTAAACTGAGATTAAAACTCCGTCCACACTGACACCATCAAACACTCCCCGGGCAGGGACAGCTCAGGGTTAGATACAGAGTAAATCTCACTCTACACTGTCACCGTCAAACATTCCCAGGACAGGGACAGCACAGGGTTAAATACAGAGTAAAGCTACCTCTTTTTTTAAATGAAAGTAAAATTCTCTCTACTCTGTCCCTATCAATCACTCCCAGCAAAGGTATAGCATGGGGATAGATACAGAGTAAAGCTACCTCTTTTTTTAAATGAAAGTAAAATTCTCTCTACTCTGTCCCCACCAATCACTCCCAGCATGGGGATAGATACAGAGTAAAGCTTCTTCTACAATATCACCATCAAACACTCCCAGGGTAAAGAGATAACAAGGTGTTGTAAAGAGCTGAACACTGGCAGTTTACACTTCACTGCCTCTGTCAGGACCTCACTTTAAATGGTAGTCTGATGCATGGAGTGACAATAGGACACTGATCTTTAATGATATCCTCACTAGGAAGGGTGTTGGACAGGAAAATGGGTTGGACCCTTAAGTGGGAAGCTGCTTTTTAATAGAAAGAGAAGCAATTACAAATCACTGAAGAATTACATGTTAATATAGCCAGCAGTTAAGGTGAAAACAAAATCACTTTTTAATGCACCTCACATGCACTGTCTTTTCTCTTGCGTGACCTCATACATGTGTAACATACAAGGTTATGTCCAGCTTCAATCTATTGTATGTTTACAAACAGGGAAAATATTGCATTTCTGAAAAGCACAATTGAGAAGTGCATGAAAGAAATTGTTAAATCAGATTTAAGGCAAGGAGGCATGACTTTGTTGGTTGTCATTGTAACTTCATGATCAGTGAAAGAATCACCTTTGAACATTTAAAAGCATACCTTTTTCTAAAAGCAAGAGATGAAAGTGAGAATTAGTCTGAATCTCATTTGGTATGTGAATTAGAATTTTCAGGTTAACTTGCTAACCTAAATATTTGGTTTATAATGAACTGAATGCACTTTGTACTTAAAACTGCGGCAAAAGTTACAACAGTTAGCACAAGATCTGTATTCATTCCCTGCATGTCAGACATTCCCCTGGTTGGATTATGTATTGTGTCTTATACCATTAATGATAGATAAACGACTTGTATTATAAATATTCTGTGGTAGAGACATACAATTACAACATTTAAAAGACACTTGGACAGGTACATGAATAGGAGAGGTTTAGAGGTATATGGACCAAAAGCAGGCAAATGGGACTAGTTCAGTTTAGGATACCTGGTGGGCATGGACGAGCTAGGATGAAGGGTCTGTTTCAATGCTGTAGACTCTATGACTTGAGTGCGTTTTCTGCTGGAATTGGTGATATGTGCTGATGTGCAGTTGGCAATATTGACTTGCTGCAAATTCCTCCTACTAAAGTATTATAATATCCATTATTATCAACTGGAGTTACCTTTCTTCATTAGTGGGATCCAACTTGATTCTATTTCTGTTTTCTCAACACTGCAACATTTATGTTTTGCTTCCATTGTTGAATATTTGTCTCAACATCCCCTCCCGATTACACTTAATACTTTCCAGCATTTTGTGTCACTGAGTGCTAAACCTAACTTCCCATTTCCTAGCTTCTCCATCAGTAGGTTTGACTTGCTTCAATCTCCCACTCTGCCCATCTTCTCTTCCCCTCTCAGTTGTGTCTAGTCTTTTGTTCCAACGCCATCGATTTGAAAGCATTTAATAATTTGTTTATAAAGTTTGTTTTTAAAATGCTTTGTCAAGATACCTACTGAATAATGACTTTATTTGCTTACAGGTTAGCATTTCCACTGTAGGCTACGGAGATGTCTGCCCAGAAACAATGCTTGGAAGGATTTTTGCTTTTGGCTGCATTGCTTTTGGGATCATATTGAATGGCATGCCAATCTCCATTCTCTATAATAAATTCTCAGACTACTATTCACAGCTCAAAAGCTATGAATATACAACATCATCAAAGCAGCGAGGAAAGATCAATTTCGGAGGAAGAGTATTGAGGAAGCTGCTGGAATGTTGTGGAGGGGTCCCACACCATCATTTACCAAGAGAACAGTAACATTTCCTCAGGCAATGACCTGAGTTTGATACATCCTTCTTTTCTTTCTTCAGTAGCTAGAAGAAATATTTCATGTTTAAAATCCAGGGAATCAATTGGCATCCCTGCAAAAAATGAGAATAAATGCAACTAGAAGTGCTCTGAATATTGGTTTCATGATTAACCTGCAAAGCATGAAATGTAGAGCATAAATGTTTTTAAATATATTATTATTCAGGATTACTTTCCACGCAGTTGATTTAATTCAATCAAGAAGCAAATTCTTGGGTAAAATGCTGTTAAATAACATGACATAGGTTTTGAAAAGAATGATTTTTAGCAAACAGAATGTTGCATAAAAGAATTGTAACAATAAGAAGGGGCCAGGTCACCAATGCTTTGGAAGATTGCTTCAGGAAGAGATAAGAGTTGAGTGATGCTTCTCAGAATTCCAGAAAGTGGCGTTCCACAGGGATCCTTGATGAAGACATTGTTATTTATCATTGACATAAATGGTCTAGGCTTAGACCTTGGAGGTGCAGTGTTAAAATTTGCAAGTGATATCAAATTGAGGATAGTAGGAACTGCAGATGCTGGAGAATCCGAGACAACAAGGTGCAGGGCTGGATGAACACAGCAGGCCAAGTGCAGCATCATCAAATTAAGGATGCAGGTTAATAATATGGAGGTCTACAATAATTTATGTGAAGGCAAAAGGGTTTACCAAAATGTGGATGAGCATCAATTAACTTTGGTGCAGTGTGGAGCGTGGGAATGTACCTTTTGGCTGAAAGAACAAAGTGCAAGTTATTTCTTGGAAAATGAAATAAACAAGTTGGGCGGAGGAGCAAAGAGATCAAGGAATGCAGATAAATAAAACACTAAAAGTAACGCCACAAATTGAAATGTCTCTATCAATCACAAAGTATTGTGCTTCATTAATACAGGAATAGAATATTAAAGCAGTTGGCTAAAGTTAACTTTATATTGAATGTTAGTTAAACAATACTTGAGATAAAATGCATAGTTCTAGTCTTCAACCTGCAAATGGATATTATAGAGCTGGAGATGACACAGAAAAGATTTTCTCAGATGTTAACAGCACAGAATGACTGCAACTACCAGGAAAGATTGAGCAGAGCAGACTGTGGTTCTTTGGATAGGAGAAGACCAAGACAAGATAAGGTAATTGACATTAAAATTAAGAATTGGTTTACTATGATGATTATGGAAAAACTGTGAGTCAGTAAAGACATAAACATAAGATAGCTACCAAGAGATGAGCAGTCCAAAGGTATGCAGATTTAGGTGGATTAGCCATGCTAAATTGCCCATAGTATCCAGAGATGTGTAGGCTAAGTGGATTAACCATGGGAAATGCAGGGTTACAGGGATAGGATGGGTCTGAGTGGAATGCTCTTTGGGGGTCCAGTTCGGACCCGATGGGCCAGATGGCCTGCTTCCACACTGTAGGGATTCTATAATTCGCTAGGATTTTATTCTAGATCAAATAAATAATTTAGGACACTCCTCTTCATACAATATGGTTAAAATGTGAAACCCAAACTACATTGCTGGTTAAAACCAATAGCACTGAAGCGCTTATGGATGCCTGAAAATATGAACGAAAATGGAGACAAGATAGTGGGAGATAATTAGAATGTCAGCAGATTTATATGGGGCATGAACGTTAACATTGACCAATTGGAATAGATTGTTCCTGCGCTGTTATGTATCTGTATATAAGTTTCTGTAAATTTCAATAAAGAAGTTAATTCAATATGGGCAACAGAATAAATTATTGACACCTATTTGAACCATTGTTCTCAGGAATACAAGTAAAATGTTATTGTGAGCTTCCAGTTGATAAGTAGGCAATGGAACCGGTAAGATTGCATTAATATTGTGCAACAGTGGATGGTGTGTTTCCCATCATACATAGAAGGGCCACAGCCACATATTCCGGAAGCAGTAGCCAGTGAAAGACTGCTGACTGTCCATTGTATTCAACGCACTTCCTCAAGGTGAAAAGAGAAGGTGTGAAGGTACAATTGAGGTGGCAAGTGGCAAGGATGCCTACACACATTGTTGAAAAGAAACTGGAATGCCAGACCCCTTCACTATCCATTTCAAAATAGGATTTAAGAATCTTTTGAGAGCAGTACACAGCTTTAGCATAGATTTCCAGCCACTTTATATTCACCATTTGCTTTCCGTAAGCTGAGAACTTTGAGAACACTGCTGGTGACCACACCTGATATTCTAAGCAGCAGGTACCAGCTTACCTCAGCTTGATATCGACTCTAGTGTTTATTTTGCAAAACATATGTTTTTCAGACGTAATTTGAGCCTTAAGTGGCTTTCTTAATTATTAATTCAGTTAGCTAATTCTAATGCATTATCTTACAAAGAAATTGCCCTGCTGAATGTGCATTGTGTGTAAGTAAACAAATGTAGCCAATGCATTAAAATAATGTTTAATGGTGCCTTAGGAGTTCAATTGATTTACACCCCATAGATATTTATACTGTTAAGAAGATGCTACATATTTAATAGTTTTAGTGGACTTAACTGTGAAAAGTTTTGGAGATGCTTGGATTGTGTTTTTTTTAAAGGAGGTCAATGAAAAGGCACATTGGAATTTATTTTTAAAATAAGGCATTTCTTTGAAACTTTATGGTTCTAGGTAATTTCTGGTCTTTGTTATGCAAAATTAATGCAGGGAAAACAGCTGTCAGTTTCAGTCTGGGTTTTAGGGCTGCTCTGTTTGAACAGTGTTTGCAGGCTTGGGGGTTTGTGCTTGGATTTCGGGTTGTAACAGGAGCACCTATATGGAGTCTTCAAAAGAAATTGATACCTGAAAAGCACAATCCGCCATTATGTCCAAGACAGACCACAACAGGAAGACACAACATAACCAGACTCACTAGTCACCCTACCAAACATCAAGGACATTTCAGAGATGACCACAGGACTACTCAGACCCCGAGGTATCAGAGTAGCCCACAAACCAATAACCACCCTGTGACAGATACTGATGAATGTAAAGGATCCCATACCCACAACCAGCAAAACTGCGGTAATATACAAAATACCATGCAAGGACTGTGAGAAACATTACATCGGCCAAACTGGAAGAAAATTGATAATGAGGATACACGAGCAGCAGCTAGCCACCAAGAGACATGACCAATTCTCTCTTGTCTCACTACACACGGACAATGACGGACACAAATTCGTCTGGGACAACATATCCATAATCACACAAGCCAAACAGAGACATGTCAGGGAATTCCCGGAGGCCTGGTATTCCAACTGGAACTCCATCAACAAACACATTGAATTAGACCCTGTGTACAAACCACTGAGAAACAGAACTGGAAGTATTGCCAACCACCCCAGCAAACTGAGGTATATAATAACTAGCCGGACAGAACACCAACGCTTCACTGGAGGTGCACTGACAATGTTACCTAGCAGCGTGACGAAATGTTTGCAACCAAACACACCAGCTCGGAGAGCAAGTGTACAACCTCATCTACAACCCATGCTTGGATTTTAGTTGGGAAAGGTTGCTATATATCCTACATTGGGCAGGCTCATGTAATGTTCCGGGGACATGGGTTCGAATCATGCCATGGCAGAGGTCGAATTTGAATCCAATTTTTAAAAAATTGAATTAAGAGCTTAATGATGACTATGAATCCATTGTCGATCGTTGGAAAAACCCATCTGGCTCACTAAAGTCCTTTAGGGAAGGAAACTGCCGTCCTTAAATAGTCTGGCCTACATGTGACTCCAGACTCACAGCAATGTGGTTGACTCTTAGCAGCCCTCTGGGCAATTAATGGTAGGCAATAAATGCTGCCTGGTCAGTGATACCTTCATCCTGTGAATGAATTTTTAATTTTAATTTCTGAAACAGCTTTGCAGTGAGATCAGGGTGAAACCTGATCCCTCTTCAGAAAGAGTGACTGAAAGAACTTTCCAATGTTGCATTTCCTAAATAAGCTATGTCTGACAAGACCATAGAGAGAGCCAAGTGTGATTAGGACTTGACATGTACAAGAACACTAGATCAGCATAATTTAGAACATTCTACATCTTATCTTTTTTGCCTTCCTAAATGACTGTCATTGGCTATAACATGTTTTTCTTTTTAAAGTGAATCTCTACAGAAAGAATTTCATTATTTTCCCATTACTTGAAGTATATATGCAGTTTGGGTTAAATGGGAATGGTGACCATTTATCTTTTCAATTCCAACTTGTGTGTGTTAACCAATTCTGCATCTTCGCTGAATGGGACTTGCTTTATATTAAATCAAACATTTTGTATTTATTAAAGAAACCTGACTGGTGGATGTTTTTATTATAATACGGGAAAAAAAATACATTTGGCCATATCTGAACTTTGGTGCAAGACTTTTGTTTTATGTTCAACTCATGGAGTTGTGGGAGTTGGGTGACAGTACGCTCCTACTATCATGGTTTTAACAATACTCAGATACCTGACATTTCATCTGCAGCAATGGGTTAAAGGACAGAACTATTCTTTCCAGTATCTCTCTATAGCCATTTTGACATAAGGTTTGGACCTGATATCCCAGTCCTTTGACCCAATCAGAACAGATAATGTCAGACCCCTCTACCCTGGCCCAACCCTGGTTCTGACATTGACCCTTGGTTCAACATTGCTCTTCCCCCATCAGACCCAACACACCTTGGTCCCACTGCAGATCAACTTCACCCACCAATCTGTCACCACCCCATCTTGGATCCAAAAGTCCCTTTCCAACCCAACCCAACACCCAAATAACACCCCTGCTGACCTGACTCTTTGACTGACCTGGAGTATGCTTTTATCTACCTGACACGCTGTCCCCCTCACCTTCTGGCACTGTACCTACCTCACCCACCTAACACACTACGCTCTCACCCACCCAATACCCTACCCACCAGGCAAACTTCCTCCATCTTCCAACTCACACCATAATCCACCCATGTACTTTACATATCTCC